CCATCCATCCATTTTTTCATCCATCCATCCATCCATCCATCCATCCATCCATCCATCCATCCATCCATCTTCCTTCCCTTCCCTTCCCTTCCCTTCCCTCCTTCCTTTCCTTCCCTCCCTTCTCCCCTCCCCTCCCCTTCCTTCCCTCCTTCCTTCTTTTCTACAACTCATTTGAAGCAGCTCATATTCCTCTTTCTATAATGCAGTTAAAATAGATAACAATCCCATAAAACAAACCCCAATAACAGTAGTAATTCTATAATTCTGCAATTCTGTAAATTCTACACGGTGTTCCTCCGTTGGCTCCTGTGGGAGTCAAGATGTTGGAAGAGAGATAGTGACCCTCTTGTGCTCTTCTACAATTTCTCGGGATCAAATGGGGCTCACCAGGGAATGCCGTCCAGGATGGCTCTCATTCTGTTCAGAAGATTTTAAAAAAAATCAGATTCTAACTTAGCACCAATTCTGATCGTGAGCCAATGTCCTGACCCTAACCTAGACTTGAGCTGAAATTTACCAAATACTTCCCCTTTGGAGGCTGGCCAAATGCCTTCTCTCTTTAAAAGGCCTTCTTGCTTCAGCCATATAACCTCTGCTATGAACCCTCCCTGTTTCGTCCACTTTTCTTCCTGTGGCCCTACCCAATAAGGTAAAATCAACAGCTGGGAGAGAGGGCTTCTTCAGTGCTGGGCTGTATTCAGTGTACCCCTCTAAGGAGGCCTGCTTGACAATCTCTTAGACACCCAGGAGACCTCCAAAACCCTGGGTGCTTTATATTTCTCTAGGTTTGACCCTGTCGGTGCAATTTTTTTTTTTTGAGATGCTCGCATCATCATCCTTTCCTCACTCGTCCAAGCCATTCAATCCAAATATCTAAAAATCAACTCAAGGAGCATCTGCAGCGATTCCTCCTTGGCGGGCGAGTCCTCCTTACCCACCCACGGCGTAGAGCTTGTTCCCAATTGCCGCAACCCCCACCCTGGCCCGGCGGGTGGACATGGAAGCAACCATGTGCCAGCGGTCGGTCCTCGTGTCGTAGGCTTCGCAATCCCCGTGGATTGCGAAAAGGCTGCCTCCTCCTGCAGGAGAGAGAGAAAGGGAGAAACGTGGCAATTATTCTTAAGGATGGGGAAGATGCATCTCAAACTCAACGCAGTTACCAGCTTGGGGACAAACCCTGCTTGTGGCGAGATGAATTCTGAACGAGGGCAAGCTGGGAAACCAACCTTTCCCCTCCGTCAGTTCTGGACATCTTGCCTGCTCTCCTTGCTTCTTCCCAGCGGAACGATCTCACACAGTATTTCTCAACCTTCTCATCTTTAAGATGTGTGGCTGGGGAATTCTGGGAGTTGAAGTCCACCCATCTTATGAAGTTGTCAAGGTTGAGAAACACTGTGCTAGCAACTTCCACAATGTCGGTTAACCTGCTGTGCAGACCCAGCCCACTGGGTAAGAAAATGGGTTCATTCAGGAACCAGGGCGAGCTGGTTGCAAGAAGAGTATATCTGAATCTGGATCATCTGCTTTTGTATTACCTGTCCAGCTGGCAGCCTCCAAACCAAGAATAAGGCCGTGTGAATCTAGGTTATGTGGGGGTTTAAATGCCATTTTTCCAGCTGGCAGTCTCCAAGCCAAGAATCATTTAATGTTGGGTAAATCTAGAGTATGTGGGGGTTTTAATGCCATCTATCCAGCTGGCAGTCCCCAAATCAAGAATCATTTAAGGCGACTCCTGGAAGCTTGGACACTCTGCCCTAAAGTAGCCAACGAACATGGGAATAGCATTTAAATAAAAGTGGCCTTGAGGTTGACCCCACTCATATTCGGAAGCACAGCCTCAAGAGTGCCACTCTACGCCCTTCCAGGAATGATGAACCCATCCCCAAGGCAGGCCACCTTAACAGAATCTTCCTGCAAGCAAAAAGGGGGTGCACGGTTACTTTAGTCAGCTGTTCTCCATGTCTGGTCCTGTAATGGTATGTAGGAATGACTTTGGGAGATGGGGAAAGAGCAGCAGACTAGGCAATGGTTAGATAAGCGGCAGCTGAGCCCGCAGAAGGAATGGGGCTGTGGTAAACATCTCAGACTACGCAATGGTCAGATAAGCAGCAGCTGAGCCTGCAGAAGGAATGGGGGCGTGGAAAGCGTCTCAGAAGGGACCCTCCCTAGTTGCTTGGGCTGTAAAGGTGAGGTGGGAGAGATGTACCTCCAGACTTGCAAGATTCTGTTAAATGCCACCTGACAATAAAGTTAGAGCTAGTACTTCTGGGTGTGCTTCTGGTCTGAACTACCTCGCAAGGCTGACAGGTCCCTTCCGCCGGTGATCCCTCCTCTTCCTGCCCTCGTCCCCCACTGCTCCATCGTCCGGGCCTTACCCACAGCAAACAGCACCATGCTCGCCCCCTCGCAGCGCCGGGGACGGGTGCGGCTGTTGCTCAGGACCGCCCTCTGCTCGGGCATCAAGTGGTACTTGAGGGCCTCGATGAGCAGGTCCTTGCACTCAGAATGGTGGCGCACCAGCAGTTCGGTGTCGACGTTGCTCATGAGGAAATCCCGGCTTAGCAGGGGAAGACGGACGCACTTCATGAGCTGAAAAGGAAGGAGGCGGGAGGGGAGGAAGAATGAAAGTCCAGAAGGAGACCAAGCTGAGGCCCACATGAGACAACCAAGAGGCTGTCACGTTGGGCGTGGAACAGACTAATTCTCGCTTGCACTATGGGTGAGAAAGAACTTATGGATGAGAAGCTGCAGAAACATCAGTCCCCTCAAGCACTAGATTCTGCTTCATTAAGGAGAAGGTGGATTTCCACCAGGGAGATGTCCCTCTATCAAGAGAGTTTGTCTAGATGCCCTTTAAGGAACCTTTCAGCTCTACGATTCGGGAAGTATTGAGAACTATAACTGCAATACAAGAATCAGGAGAGAGAATTAGAAGGACGCAAAGACACCACCTTGTACCTTTCCACTGCTTCTGGGTCCTACATCTAGGCGGGGGATCACAACTCCCCAAATCCCCAGCCAACCCAACGTCCAACAGACTAAGAATGATCAGTCTGGGTAATCCAACCCCACTGGGGCAAGATGAGAGCAGATGGCCAGGGAGCCTTCAAGCTCTGATTTTATTATCATTTCAAGCTCCATCGTTTCAAGCAGGTTCATCACTCAAGCAGGGAGTGCAGGAAAAACACTTACGATCCCCACAAGAGGGAAAGGCCTCTGATGTGAAATCACAAAAAAGGCACGTTAAAAAAAAAAAAATCAGTATTTTGGGAACGTTGGTGGGGGGAACTCTTCCAGAAACAGGACGCAGTATTTGTAAGCATTAAGGAAAGACCCTCCGTGAGTATTAATGGTTCCCGCAGGATGAACCGTGAGCCTCAGGAGGGTAGTTCCAGAGCGTACGTCTTTTCATCAAATGCTTACAATTATCTCGGAAAGCCACGTACTCGCGGAATATTCTGCTTCCTGCTGTCCACGTCATGCTTCACCCAGCTCAATACGGCTCGGTAAACTTCCTCTTCCGAAGGCACGTTGAGGCTGTCGCTGGAGATGAGATCTAACACCTGCCGACAAGAAGGTTTGGAAGTTCGGACTCCGAGAGGACGGAACTGGCTTGAACGAAGACAATTCCGAGCGACGGGTCTTCCTTCCCTCCCTCTGGACTGCTAAGGGGGAATCGCTTTCGTCTTCCCGAAGACTGGGAAATTTTTCTGGAAGGGAGGGAGAGCAGAGGGACACGACTCCAGGCCCTTTTAATGTTCATTTGCAGCAGCAAGGCCACGAGGCTGTCAAGGCTGACTCTTGTTTGTAAGAAAGCAGTACAGAGAAGGGTCAAATAAAGAAAGAGGTTACTAGAGGCTGGAAATGTCTCCTTTTCTTTTCTGGAATCCGCTTCGAGTCCTTTGGGCGTGTGGCAGTATAAAAATGCAGTAAATACCCACATACCTACCTGTGCAACGGGATTCCTGTCTCACCCTAGCAATTTAACATCTGGATCTGAGAATCGCTTTCCTTCAGCATCTTTTCCCCCACCGGCATGCCCCACCGCCGTTTACCTGCTTGAGAGGCAGCAGCATAAATTCCTCCGTCTTGGAGACATCCACGAAGTGCTGTAAGACGTACTTATGGGCCGATTTCAAGAGATCGCTGCAGGAGTGCGTGTCCGCGAAACCCCGGATGCCCAAGCAGTTGGAGGGGTCTAGCTGGCTCAACAGGAACTTGCAGCAGGCATCGCGGACCCCGTTCAGCTGCAGCAGGCTGGCCGCAGGAAGCAAGGTCTGAAAAGAAAGGGAGGCTCTGGGCTGCGTTCTCGCGGCCAGGCGTTCTGCCGACCAGCCGCTTCTCTCCCAGTAAAAATCCCAGGACAGGTGGGACCCCCTTTTTTTAATGGACATCCTTGATCATGACCACACACGTCCCGAAAAGGGTTGCAGGCCCACTTCAAGCCCTTGCTGGATAGCTCCAAGGAAAGTCCCTGGAGGACCCTGTGCCACTGCTCTTCGAGGCCTTACCTGGACGTTCCCTTCTCCCACCACGATCTCAGCAGTGTAGGCATACTGGACCAGTTGTTCCAGGGCCTGCGGATCAATGTCGTGGAGCGTGACGTGAGTCTGGCGGCTCTCGCTCATCTCATCTGCGGCAACAAAGAGATACCCTGTATGGATTTCAGGTGACCGGCATCAGACCTTCACCGGGGCCGGTCAAGAAGCCGAGTCTGCAGCTCTGGCAGAGGCAGAACAGTCATTTAGGTCAGCGGGTCCAACCGGGGGGCTGGAATGCCAACAAAAGCATTGCCTAGCTTCCATCTGACCTGCTTCTCCTTTTAAAAAAGATAAAAGAGGGCAAGAACCACAGATCGAAAGGTGCAATCTCCAGGATTTCAAACACGGCTCGTAATTTTAAATTAATTCCCCACTCAGCTACAGAAGCTGGTTCTTTGGGCCTGTAACCCTTTCTTATCTCCTAGGCTTGCTGTGGGGGCGAAAAAATTGGAAAAGAGAGGGAGTGCTGCATAGATGACGTTTATACGGCCACCCATTCTGGCTCGCAACACCTTAAGAACAAAAACACCTCATCCAAACATAAAAACCTACAATGGACGCCAAGGATAAACCCAAAGCAATCAGCAGGACAACATCAGTGTTCTTCTGACCCCCATGCTCTGGAGCACATCCAGGGCTTCCATGCTTCAGAAGACCAGGGCCATCTAATCTTTGGTCCTTGGAGAAAAGGTGGGTTAGAAATCTGACAAATTAAATAAACGCAGTTTTAGTGGCAGAAGGGCACAGGTCATAGAACGTCCCCCAGAATGAGTTTACTGCTGAATTTCGGTCAGACGTAGATTATCCCCAAGAAGAACCCCCCGAGATACTTGCTCGTGAACATGGCGTGGAAGTAGGGACTGCAGGAGGCCAACACCACCTTGTGCGCCTTGATCTCCTTGGCGGCCACGTGCAACACGATGTCGCAGAGGAGGCCCCGCTGCCTCATGCGGTTCATGCAGACAAAGGCGTCGTGGTAGTGCCTCTTGGAGTTGTGGGAGATGCTGTGGCCGTCCCGGTTCAGGAGCTGCATCCCGTTCTCCATGGCGGCAGCCGGCTCGCCCCTGGTTCGCGGCAACGCCCTTTCGGCCTCTCGGCGGAAACGGAATGGGAGTTGCAAGTTCGGCCCGCCGAGCGGACGGC